TTGTAAAATCCTGCAAAACTTAATCATCACTGCAATGACTTTCTTAGGCGTAGAATATCTTAAGGCAACAGGTAGAAGGTCTTGCATCAAAAGGTGGTAATCATGTGACTTAAGGGATTGCATCTTATACTCTTTTAGATTTATTAATCTTGAAATGTTGGAAGTGTAGCCATCAGGGACTTTCAAATTCTTAAAAACTTCACAGCGTCAAGCCTTCTTTTCTGGGGACAATGTGTAAGGGGGCAGGTGGCAAAATTATCCTACCACTTGCATTAATTTTTGGTTGTAAGTCAGGTCGTATACCAATATCTTCCAAGTCCAACCTTGCTTGAAGATTGTCCTTTGACTTCCCTTTTTCATTTAGAAATGTAGAAACACAATTCTCACCAATATTCTTTTGGTTAAACCCCCATTTTGATCCCTCAACTATTGTACGAACCCTCGATTTATTCCCTCAACTCAAAAAATCCCTAATTTGGTCTCTACTATTTACCATTTTAACCCCAATTTGATCCTTCCATTAAAAACCTGCTTACATGTTCCATTATTTGACGTGAGAAAGATGGCATGTAAAATTATTTTAACATGTAAGATGTATAGCATGGCAAAATTAATGATATGACAAGAAAACACCTTAAAAATTTTCTTTTTTTTTTCCTTCCTTTGTTTTTCCTTTTTGCTGGGTTCTTCCTTTTCCTTTCCTTTTTGCTACTCTAAACCCTAACACTTGAAACCACCTTCGATTTTCCTCACCAAATGAATTCATCTTCTTCCACTTGATTTTCCTCACCTCTTTCTCTTCCAGATCTGGTTGTTCGTTGCCCATTGGTTGCCGCCCAACAGATCCAAAAGCACCACAAATCATATCTCAAAACCTACTCCAATCCATTGGAATATGGCTCTTTATGTAAGGGTAGCAAAAACGATTGTTAAAATCTTCTTCAAGGGAATGAATAAAGTATTAAATTAATACCCAAAAAATAAAAAGATAAAAAATAAAACTTTTTGAAGCTCTGTTTGTTTCTTGGGAAAATAGAGGGAAAATGAGTACAAAATGGGAACATGCGCAAAACCGAGGGGGAGAAGACGATGAAGGATTCAGCTACAAAGAACGATGAATCTAAGGAAAACTCAAGCTAAGACTTAAACCCAGATGTTCTTTATCAACCATCATGTTTTCTCTCTCACCAAACAAGATCCAAGAAACAAAGTCTATTTTAAGATTTCATATTTAAGAAGAAAAAAGGAGAAAAGTTGCTGGGTTCGAAAGAACCCAATGACTGTTAGGTTCAAATCCAACGACTACTGGGTTCGAAAGAACCCAACGATTGTTGGGTTTGAACTCAGCAAAGCTTTCGAACCTAGCAGCTACTGGGTTCAAAGGGACCCAATAGTGCCTGCTGGGTTCCAAGTTCTTGGCTCTGCTTCTTTGCTCCGCCTTTGGGATCTCAAATAGTAGGTTCGTAGAAGGTATAGGAAAGGAAGAGGAAAGAGAACCCAAATCTGGTGTTGGGAAAGGAGAGAGAAAATGTAAGGATTTAGATTTTAAAGGTTGAAGAAATGGGTAATACAGTCATTTTATTATGTTTAGAGATTATTTAGATAATTTTTTTTGCCAAGTCATGTATTTTGCCATGTGTTAAACTCCACGTATTTTATTTATTAAAAAGGCATGCCCCTGCTGTTAGTTAACATGCCACGTTAATAAAAATTTAACGGAATGATCAAATTGGGTTTAAAATAATAAATAGCATGGACAAAATCAGGGATTTTTTAAGTTGGGGGATTAAATCGGGGGTTCGCATAATAGTTAAGGAACCAAAATGGGGTTTTAACTTATTCTTTTTTGTATGTATGAAGTCAATTACGTGACAAATTAAGTTAAACTCCTAGTATGGGAGTTCAAAAAAATTCTCTGTTTTTTCCATGCATCCCCATCATTGGGATCTTCTCCTTCTTCATCTTGTATATCTAATGACATAACTGGACTCCCCTTTTTGCACTTTAAAATAAATCCTCTTTTATGCATCTTTCCATGAAAGAATTCACGACCTTTTAGTTGCCTTAATATCTCTGTATCAGACAAAAGATCAAGAGTTGTTCTGAATTAGTTTCTGTCGTCAAAAGCTAATGCTTGATTTCTAAAACAATGCCTTTGTTCTAGCCATGTTCGGTGCCCTAGTTAACATAATTTCTTCCCATTCTTCAACCAGCTTGAACACGTCTTCTCACCACAATGAGGACAACCATAACAAACTTTAGTTCTCCTACTCAACAAGAATGCCATTGCTTGAAAGTCATTAATTATTCACATTAATGCTGCCCGCATGTTAAATGTTTCTTGAGATGTTACATCAAAAGTGGCAACACCTGCCCACAATTCCTTTGATTCAACAATTAAGGGTTGCAAGTACACATCAATGTCATTACTTGGATTTTTTTGGGCTTGGAATTATCATGGACACGATAAAATATGATTGTTTCATACACAACCAAGGTGGGAGGTTATAAGGAATTAAGACAACTAGCCAAATGCTATATATGTATTCCTCATTAATCTAAATGGGTTGAAGCCATCACTTGCAAGACCAAACCTCACATTACGGGGTTCTTGAGCAAAATCTGTATACCTATCATCAAAGGCTTTCCTTGCTTGTGAGTCCACAGGATGTCTCATCAATCCATCCTTATTGCGATTGTCATAATGCCATCTCAATAAGCAAGAGGTTTTAGATGATATAAACAAACGTTGGAGCCTTGGAATGAGAGGAAAATATCTTTAGATTTTTGTAGGTTTCTTCTTCTTACCATCATTAAAAATGGAAACCCATCTTGATAACCTACAAACATGACACTCTTCTTGATTCTTCTTATCTCCCCAGTACAACATACAATCATTTGGACAAGCTGCAATCTTCTCATAACCCAACCCAAAAGATTTAAGAAACTATTTCATTTTCAGAGTTGAACTTGGAAGGTTTAATTCAAGAAATGCCTCATTTAGAAGTTCAAACAACATGGTAAATGATTTGTTAGACCACTTGCCCAAGCATTTCAAGTGGAAGAGACGCAAAATGAAAAAAAGCCTAGAGAAATTCTTACAACCAAGATATAATTTTGTGTTAGCATCTTCTACTAATTTGTAAAAGTTACATTCCTTAGTAGTAGTTACATGCCTTGGTAGTTGCTTCATTAGGTTGGGGGTTATGACCTTCCTCATTCATTTGACCATTTTTCACACCAACTTCTCTATTTTGATGGCCACCGAGGGCATCAAATAATGGGACGTCATAGACTCTAAATGCATCATGTATTAAACCAACCATGTCATCATGGTCATGTAAATTGCTAACTTCATTGATGATTGGAATATTTTGAAGCACAATAAGGGCATTTTGGTTCATAGAAGAAGATGACTCCCCATGACAGATCCAAGATGTATACCCACTCAAAAAACCATTTTTGATTAAATATGAATAGACAACAGTCAGTTTGTGCAATTCACAATTCATGCAAACTTTGCATGGACAACTTATCAATTCCCCATAAGGAGAATTTTGAAAGGCTCATTCAATGAAATTCCTTGCTCCTTCACAGTACTCAAGACCCCACCTATCTTTTGTTATCCAACTATTATCCATAAGCTAAATTTACAAGATTAGCTGTATTTTCAAAATGAATTCAAGAAAAAAAGTTAAAAGTTTAAACTAGTAGTTAAAAGAACATATAATTAACAAAACCCATTTGGCCTTAACTTGGTTAACTACTACCATTAAATAGTAGTTCAGGACCCATTGGCCTTAGCCAAACATGTGCCAAACCCATCATTTCTGAATCCATAAACAGCAGACCCAGAAATTAAAACCAGTCATAGAATGCACTCGGTCAAATAATCATACAGTAGAAAGAACAGAAGGCCTTAGTATACATTGACAAACAACAAATTGACAAAACCAACACTGCATCCAACACTAAAGTTTTCTAAAAGCAAATAATGCCAATGCATCCGTTAGAAATATCAATTAACTGAAGTTTATGTTACTAATTCAATGTGAAACTAGTTAAATTAATACCTAAAAAAATAAAAATCTAACAGCTTAAAGGTATATTGTATCAATGAGCTGCACACAGCTGATTTGTTAGCTTCTAAAACATTATACATACTGCGATAATATTAATAACTACCGTGCTTTTGTGAATACAAAATGGAGAAAAGATAATGACTTATAAAAAGTTCTAGCAAACAAAACAGAAAAAATGTAGAGAGAAGAAGGAAGCATGTAAACATACAAATCAAGAAAAAGGAAATGAAATGATCTTAAGACATAACATCAAACCCAAAAGTGAAACAGATGAAATTACTGATTGGAAGGTGTGGAAAACAGCAGATTGATGAGCAAACAAACAAGTTCATACAACACAGAATTCAATTAATAATGATCAAAATTGAGAAATAGACTCACAATTTGAAAGTTCTTTCTCCTTAGCAGCTGTTGTTCTCCTAAGCTTCACTGCTTAAGCAAGTGTCAATGGCCTACACCGACATAGAATTCAACTCACATTAAGCTTACATTAAACAAGAAAATAAAGGTCCAAACCACAACGATGCTGTCGAACTTAGAAAATAAAGGAATGACTAACAATATGCTAATATTGAACTTGGAAAACATCACAAAACCTTTAACAGCAACTTCCAAAACTAAAGCTAAATCATGAAACTAAATCATAAAAGAACAAATATAAAGTTGAAATTGGAAACAAAAAACCACATGCAAAAATTGAAGAAAAAATATCTAGTGTTTCCAATGCCAGGGAACACCAAAATGTTAAAGCAAATAGGAGACTAAAAGACATGAATCTGATGAAAAGTAAACAAAGGAAATCTGAAAGAAATAGATATAGTCGAAGCTAAAAAGTGATTATGGTGGCAACAACGTAGCACCCTATTTTCGAGCGATTATGGCTGCAGCTCAACCACACCTCCCTCGATTGCTTCCTGCACAACAAGATGATGAGGATCGTTATGACCATCTCATCGCCATCGCCCGAATGTTCATCAGTTGAAATTGGATTCAATTCTCCAATTTCAAAATCATAAACAAGGGATTTTGAAAAATCTAAGAAGAAGACACAAACCTGGAGTACTTGATGAGATTCGAAGGAGAAGACACAAAGGATAACGCGAAATCAAAATTAATATCAATTTTCAAGAAATCAAAATCAAAATTGAAAAGACGAGGACCTAATGGAGAGAGTTGAAGCTTACCTACTGCAATTGGTTTAGGGTTTCTGCTTACCCAATGGAGAGACTCTGGAAATGAAACAAAAATTTTGAAAATGAAAAGAACGAAAGGGAGATATATTGAAATAGAAAAGAACAAGAGACTGGAAGGAGACGAGGTAATGAAGGAGATTTTGTTTTGGGAAAATATCGCGGGGACTTGGTTTTGGAGGGATTCTAACTATATGTCTTGTTTCTTTTTCTTTTTCGTTTTTTATCTACAGGCGCTTTTCAAGCGCTAGAAATGAATAGCATTTTCAAATGCATAAATAAAGCGCCCAAAAAGCACTCTACTGCAAGTTAGCATTTCCAGCGGACATGGTAAGGACCTGAAATAAAGTGCGAGGCAAATCGTAAAATTCTTGTAATGATAGTACATCAAGAAAATTAGATATTATATGGCAGATTATAAATCCTTGACAGGCTCACAACATGTAGTAATATATAGATAATAAAGATTCATAAATAGATCTAAATAATTAAGAATAAAAAATCATGATATTGACTAATATACGTATTGATTCGATATATTATAAAACATACTACAAAATAAGAGCACAAACAAGACTACAAAGTAGATAAACAACTATTTCAGCTTTCTTAAACCCTTGAATCTTATTTATTATGTGATTAGAATTAAATATCTTAGCATTTTATGACGTCTTAATTTTTCTTTTCTTACCAAAGATTATGGTTATAATATTAGTGAGGGGTTATTATATATTAGTGAGGCGTTAACGGTACCAAAATCCAATAAATTAGCTCCAAACTTTTTTCTTGGAGTGACTCTCACACGACCACTGTAAAATTCAAGACACAACATTTTTTTTTCTTTAATTGCTTCTATCAATTGCTTTTCGAAATATGTTAAAACTTTTCTTCTAACACATAAGTCTAATTTGTTTTAACAAATAAGTCAATAATTAACAATTTAAAGTATATAGTATGCTGAAAATTATTACAAATACCTAGCAAATTATTGTATATCATATGAGAATGTAGTTAATATATTGCAGAGCGAAGTCGTCTACAGCGTGGATTGAGTTTCATTTTTCTGGGCATACGTGAATTTAAGTCAATGCTCCAAAAGTTTTTGGGTACGTGTTTTTTTTTATTTTCATGAAATCTTTTTCTTTAAATTAATTATATTTTAGATGATAATCCATACGGTAGAGATGACTCTCCCTATTCATTTCAAGATTCAAAATTTAAGTTTGTTACAATATCCTTTTAAGTTGCATATAGTATACATATTGAAATTAATTTGGGGATACACATGCAGGTATCAAATACATACACGAAAGGAAGTTGATCCATAAATGTGCCCTGGAAATTTTGATTTTGACAGCTGATGCATTATCGGGATTGAGTGCGGAAGAAGTGGTTGAGAGTAGAGTCGTCCCAGCTTTGTTCCAATCGATCCAGCATGGCATAATAGAATTTTTCAGAATTGGAAAAGCTAATGTTGATGTAATGTCAGCCGCTATTGATGGAAAGGCAAAGTTCGTAGAAACTTACGCAATCGAATGTCGTCAAGAGAAGTATTTTCATGAGCTTAGCACTAGAGAGGGACATTTTTTGGCTGCATGGACAGATGACGATGGCAACAATGCGCTTCACATAGCAGCAAAGTTAGGTCCAGAGTCTTATCTTGCTCAGTTTTCAGGTGCAGCCCTTCAAATGCAAAAG